AGATAGCCTGTGAGGACCTTTACACTCAGTGTAACAACCTCCCTCTTAGAATTGCTATATACCATAAGTTTGGTAAGTTGTGTTTCTGTCTTCATTTGTCTCAATATACTTTTCAGTTCCATGTTGATTTCTTTTTTTGTCTTGTTTTGTTGGCTTTTGTTTCTATTTTTGGAGATAGGCTATCCCTACATAGCCCTGGATGGCCTAGAACTCACTGTGTCTACCAGGCTGGCCTGGAGCTCACACAGACCTATCTGCCTGCCTCTGCTCCCTGAGTACTGGTATTTTTATACCCAGCTTGATTTCTTTTTTGACTTATTAGTTGTTCAAGAGTATGTTGTTTAATGTCTATATATTTGTGACTCATCTAGTTTTCCTTCTGTTATTATTTCAAGGTTCATAACATTGTGGTTGGAAAAAATACCTGATATGGTTTCAGTCTTCTCAAATTTCTTATAATTTTACTATGACTCATCATATGATCTATCCTGGATATCCTGTCAGCTTGAGAACAATATGTATTATAGTATTGGTTATAAGTCCTTTGTTTCCTTCTTAATTTTCTATCTGGGTGACTTATGTGTTATTCAAATTGGTCTATTGGAATCCCCTGCTATTTTCACATTGCATCTATCTTCCCCTTTAGATCTGTTGATTTGTTTGTATATTTAGATGCAGAGATGTTATTTGTATGCATATTTATTCTTTCTCTCTCTCTCTCTCTCGCTCTCACTCTCACTCTCGCTCTCGCTCTTGCTCTCATAGTACTGGGCATGAAACCCAGGACTTCATGCATGTTGAGCAAGCATATTGCTACCCTCATCCCTTCTTTTTTTTTTTTTGGTCTTTTTGAAACAGGGTCTACCTGTAGCCCCAGCTGGCCTAGAACTCTCTATGTAGACCAGGCTGGCCTTGAACTCACAGAGATTTGCCTGCCTCTGCCTCCCAAGTGCTGGGATTAAAAGTGTGTACCACCATGCCTTCATCCCTTCTTATATCCCCTTGATGAACTGACCCCTTTAGCATTATGTAATGACCTTGTGACAACTTTTGACATAAAGTCTGTTTTGTCTGCTAGAAGAACATCATTTTATTTCTCTGTAGCTTAATTTGTCTTTCTTGAGGGTGGTAGAAATCTCTCGTATCTCTTATCTGTGAGCATCTCCCCTGGCACCTCCCATAAGTTCCAAGAAGCTTATTCAGGACCAAAGCAATTATTGGCACCACCCTCTAACCAACAGGGCTAATTTGGCCCTTCTGTTATGGAGGAGCCTTTTAGTCCTCCAAGTTGTCTGTCTACATTGCCAACCTCTCAACTGATCTAGGGCCCATCAAGATCATGGCCATTTGTCTCTGCAGATCTTGGACGAGGTATACATTGTTTCTATGTGTGTGACTCCTTGTCTACAGTTCTACAGTTCTTGCATGCCTATTGCAGGTACTCAAATCTTTCTGTTGCTCTTATTGCAACAAAGGGAACTCTATGGCTTTTCACAGCCCTTGGCCTGCCCCAGCTCTACCTAGACAATCGTGTCTGACTCTTCTTGCTCTTGGTTCCATATCATCCTTCTAGCCCTTCTCTGGCATCTGTAGCAGTTACTTTCCTTTCCTTTCCTCACTCCAAGCCTGAAACATACTTGTCTGTGCTAAGAGACACAGAAGCCTCTTGTCTAGGCCCCGAGTTCTTCTCTATGGTTAAGTGCATAAAAATGTATAACCCAAAAAGTAGGAAAAACTTTCTGTGTGTTTTCTGCTGTTCTGTTTAATTTCCAAGGCAATGTACATGCCAATCAAAAACAGGAGGGAGGGTGGTAAGAGTAATACTAAGAAGAAATAAACTAATATTGTGAAACAAAACAGAATTCTGTGAGTTAGCTGTAATAGGCACCTATTTTTGCTTATGTATTTTTGCTTATGTATATATAATCATATAAATATTACAGCACACACATATTTAGTAATCAGTAAATTTGAACATTTGTCATTTGAATTAATTTTTCATAGAGTCTTTTCTGTTTTACTTTTGGATTCACTTTTTTTTAATTAGAAGTTATAATGGATGATAAAGACAAAAAAAGATTTAAATTATTTGCTTAAGTATATTTAAATATGTATTACCTCAAACTTAGTCATTTCTGGCTGTAGTCATTCTAATAAATATTGCTATGGCCTTAAATATTGGAGGATTGTTCCTCTGGAATTATTCTTAACCTTTAAACTATAAACTGAAATGTTAGAGGTAAGCTATTCCATCATTAAACTCCATTCCACTCTTCCTATCCCCAATCCACTGATAGAAGAACGACCCGGCTTAATCCATTAATCTTCAAAAACCATTATTAATTTTGGAGTTATACACTTGAATTTGGAAGCATACAAAAATTTTTCTCCCATGAAACCATTTAAATGAATTTCTGAAAAATGTTGATGTTAAGCTATAAGGAAAAGATCAAAACTTATTTTGAACAGCATAACTAAAATAAGTTGCCAAAGCACTTCCTCTGAGATAAGCTGCTGTTATCTGGGTGAATACAAGTTGGATGGAGATTTGGATAATTACTGTAAACCAGCAGTTCATGCCTTGGACATTTTTGCCCTCCAGGGGACATTTGGCAATTTCAACTGACATATTTGGTTGGGGTTCCTGGCATTTAGGAGACAAGCCAGGGTTGTCTCAAGCATTTCATAACGCTTAGAATAAGTCCTCCCATCTAAGAAATGTCTGGCCCCAAATGTCAATACTGTCAAGTAAACAAGTTATTTGTTATTACCTGTGATAGTCATTCCTCACATTTTAGTATATGTCTAAATTTCTGATCTTAATCATTGGGAAGGAACAAGCTCAAGCCCATAAACCTTTCTTCTGTCCAACACTACAGGCCTCTTTGAAGTTTTCTTTCTGCTTAAGTAGAGAGGGTGGAGAGGGAGGGGAAGCCAGTTCCAGCCAGCACTGAAATACAGGAAACACACAGATCAATATCTAGGTGGAAATTTCCTTAGCAGTCTTTCTCAGAAGTTTTCCTTCCCCTACACAGTAGGAGCAGAGATTCCGTCTGACTTCTGATTTTGCAGAGTCAAAACTCCAAGAGATTGTGGTAATACCTTCACCTGGGAACCTGAAGGCTCTTCCCACCCCCTGCCCTGTTCTGACTGCTGGGCTCTGCCTGGCCCCTTCTTAGCAGCCAGGCCTGACCACCTTTGCCTTTGTACACTGTGCACTCCTCCATTCCTCTATCCTTGAAGCTCTTCTTGATTTTCCTATGGTTAATTTGTTAGCTATCTCTTTTCATCTTCAAAAATCTAGTCTTAGAAAAGCCTTTCCATATGCCAAGATGATGCAGTCACCCTCAGTGTTGTCATCTAGTGTTAGGAGTTAAAGCTTATCTGACAATGGATTCAGTGGGTTTATTTTGTTGTTGTTATTTTGTTTTATTTCCAAATGGGCTATCTAGTTGTACCATATTATTTATTGAGTACCTGGTGGTAATTTTGTGTCCATTGATTTCAGATGCCACCTATATCATATACCACAAGCTTTATTTATTTCTGTATTAAACCTAAATAAATCAAATATCTTTGTTTTAGATGTCAGGAGAAAGATTAAATTTTCTTGTGGCAAACCTAGAGAAATTTGTTTCTTAGTATGACAAATATAATGCAAAATTTACCATGCCAACTACTTTTCAACCCATATAAATTTCAGTAGCTTCAAGTATATCTACACTGTCATAAGATCACCATCACCATCCACTTCTAGAACTTTTTTAGTGTCCATGTCTTACAGCTTTTATTCAACTACACCATTGATTTAATGGCACACTGATCATTTATAAGTCATACCCTGATTTCAGTGATGTTAAGATGTGGGAAAGCATATGTTTTAGAATTACTGAAATATACTTTTAAATTCTCAGATGTATTTGGCATATTTCTAGCTTTCACTAATTTGTTTCTATGTGCCAATATCTCACTGTTTTAATTACCAAAGCTGGATGGGTCTTTCAATGTGAACAGGACTAATTTCTCCTCATTGGCCATCATCTCTCTCAGGAAACTTCTTTTTCTAGTTATTCTTGTCTACCTGTTTGAATAAACAAATCACTTCCCTTGTTCTTACAGGTCTTTCCCTCCTTCTTTCTATCTCATTCACTTAGTTGAGTCCTGTATCAATATACCTCTTCTGAGTTTACCTTCTTGACCTTCTGCTGGGTTTTCACTTGAGCATTGCCATGGTCATTTGGTTCTCTTCTGACCTGTGTTTTCTCCATATAGGGAGATGCTCATATAAAATTCTTAGAAAACAGGGCTGGAGAGATCGCTCAGCAGTTAAGAGCACTGGCTGCTTGATTCCCAGCACCCACATGGCGGCTAACAACTATCTTTAACTCCAGTTCCAGGGGCTCCAACACCCTCTTCTGTCCTCCACGGGCACTGCATGACATGGGTGCACTTACATACATGCAGGCAATATGCTCATACACATAAAATAAAAATAATAAAATGTTTTTTAAAACTTCTTAGAGGGACTGGAGGGATGGCTTAGCAGTTAAGAGCACTGGCTGCTCATGCAGAAGCTCAGGTTCCATTCCACATGGTGGTTAACAACTGTTCTAACTCCAGTTCCAGGGATCCATTGCGCTCTTCTGATCTCTGGGGGATTTGCACAACATGGACACACATACATGCAAGCAGTACATTCACACACATAAAATAAAAAATAATAAAATAAAGTATTTTTTAAAAAGTAATAAAGTATTTTTTAATTGCTAGGATAATTTATTCCAAAATTTTGTATCATGTACATAAAATGCCAGCCTTCTTCAGTGAAGTTACTGGTGTCTCTGGAAGGGAATCTGAAATGCTTGTGCCTGTCTCAGCACTTCCTGTAGTTCACTAATGCGTTCGCTCTAGGAGCTTATTCCTCTGCCAGTTATTCCTATTAAATTTTTAGCATTTTAAATATTGTATTACTAAGAGCTTATCTTTATTTGCATTTATAGATCATAAACTCATTCCTGCTTTGTTTTACTGACGAATCCATTTAAAAAGCCAGTAAATCTTGTAGAAAATGGCCTTCAGCGATCTTACGGCGAGGACTGTCCGTTTTTATGATAATTGGATCAAAGATGCTGGTGAGTAACCTATTGAAATTTGTCTTTCTTTTATGTCAGATTTCCACATTAATAGGATTTTATTGAAACAGAATGAGAGATTTTGTAACTCTACACTCCCTTATTAGTATTAACCATGAGGAAGTGTCAAGGGTTTCATTACAGTACAGCTAGAGCTACATAGATGTTCATTATAATATTTATAATAGTGAAAATAGTCTGACTATCCACAGGAGGGAACTGGTATGTTTCAACTCAGTAGCCCTTGAAAGTGGTTTTGAAGGGTCAGTACTCTGGCTTGATTTAGCCTTAATGATGCTGGGGGAAATCACAATCACTGCCAACAGTGATCGGCTGTGCCCATGATGGCTCTTGAATGAGAGAACTGCCCCACCCCTGAGGGATAACAGAAAGAGCCGGGATACCCCTGAGTAATGAAAATCAAATCAGTGTTAAGAGCATGCAATGCCATGGAAAAAGGTTTAAAATGTGCCGATGGAAGGCTGGTATAAAGCAGCAGATGTATTTCTTCTGTGGGAAGTTACACAGTGGTAGAGTTACAGTGGTAGAATTACAGTTTTGATGGTGGTCCTGGGGAATGAGCCCAGGGCCTTGCATTTGCGTATGTTAAATATGTGATCTACAACTGAACTACACACCAGTCTTAGTCTGGTGGGTAACTTTTGTTTGCCTGTCTGTCCATGTTTTCTCAAACCAAAGCTGATGTGGTATTGTTTTAAAAGCAAAACAAAGGTACACACTTTTTTTTAATAGAAAAGGAAGCAGAATGTTTTAGAGCTAAGATGGACCTTAGCTATCTTCGAAGCTAATATCTCATTTTAGAGCTGAAGAAATTAAAACCCGGAGATGTGACCTTCCCAAGGTCATTGTGAGTTGATTGATGGAAGGAAGGAAGGAAGAAAAACCCGGAATACATTTTTTCTAACTATGATTAGTATTCTAGCATTTCCTTTTCTTGTAGTTACTAAGTTACACATAGGCACCATCAAAACCATTTCATATTGACTCTCACTTATTAACCAGAAGTCACATGTTCACTACATTCAGGAGGAAAAAAATGCCACGTCTTGGCACCAAGCACAGCTGAAATTATATTCTAGTTTACAGTGACTTCAACAAAGACATTCTGTTTCATGTTAGTATTTCTCCCCAGACTGCTAAAGACCAATTTTATTTCTCTAAAATAGTTCCCAATACTTCTGTCCCTGAAGAATGCCACTGTCACTTTTTGGTCTCATGTTATGGAATCTAGAGTGGTTATTTCCCCATTTTCTTTTTTCCTGAAATTTTCAACATACTTGGTACATGAAACATGCAGAGTTCTTTAGAGGCCATTTTTTTTCTGATGTTTAATAGTAGTTGCTACAAATTCAGTATTTAATTTAGATCTTAATATTTTTCGTTGCTTTCAAAGGCGAGGTATTCATTTCTAGTTGAATCTTCACTATGTGAACTTGGAAACCAAGTAGATTTGGGGATAGATTTTTTTAAAAAAAATCTGTGTGTATGCATGTGTGTGTCACAGTGCATATGTGAAGGTCAGAGGACAATTTTGTGGAGTCAGTTCTCTCCATCCACTTTTAGGTGAGTTCCAAGCATTGAACTCAGACCACTAGGCTTCCACAGCAAGCACCTTCACCCACTGAGCAATCTTGCAGGCCCTGGGTAGTTTTCGGAAGACTTATTTTGAAAAGTAAATCCTGTGCAATCTAATCTTGCTATTCACTGTTCCAAATGCAAGAGCCCAGGAAATTCAAATAGTCCATATCTTAACTCAAGAGCCAAATAGAGTCAGCTGATGAAGGCTACTCATACAGCTCTGGAAGTACAAAATATTTTAATGTAACCTACGTCAGAGTTCAACATCCACCTTTATCTGTGAATCAACTCTGCTTTTTATTAGAAGCACTTCCGTTAAAAAGCTGAATAGTACTAGATTAGAAAAAAAGTGACAAAGGATGGCAAGTGGTTAAAGATGGGGAGTGAGGAGAGTCAAGCTCACAGAGCAAGGAAGGAGAGAGGAGGGGCAGAGACTTGTCACACCTCTGAAGCGATGCTCAGTTGAAGTCTTTGGAGGAGAGGTCGTAGATGTAGAATGAGAAGACCTCTTAGATACCAGGTCCTTCACAATCTTAGACTAATTAGATCAATTTGAGCAATTTCTTTTTGAGTAAAACAAAGGTGAGACTAGCACCTGCCAGCTACTAGACAAGATGTTGAAATTGCTCTGTCATTTGGGAAGCATCGTCACGAAAATAGTGAGATTACAAATTATTGTTAAATACTTTCAATGTAGCACATCGCTTCAATTTTTTTTCTTTATTTTTCTTGTCACAGTACAGCAGAGTTAAAAGGTTTTAAGTTAAGATTTATGACTTTGTGAAAACCCTGTCAGGTGTAGCAGAAAAGTTTTTCCTTGTACTTAGTGTGGTATTGATCTCTGAAGGCATTACTTTTGCTTACCCTAGGAAGGGCTGAATGCATGATTAAGGGCCAAGAATTTCAAGTGTTTTCTTGGCTTTGTCCCTAATCCTGAGTAGTTTGGGAAAAACTTACTGTTACTGGTTCTCTAAATGTTGGAGAAGTGGTGGTCATGCATTGTTAGGGAATGGAAAATTCCACAGCTACAAAATTTAGAAATAGCTTACCTAATGCATAACCTAGAATAGGATTTGTCTATTCCATATCTATTGATATGGAATGTTAGATTTAAAAATAATGCTATTGTAGCATTTTGGGCTATGGAGCAACACAAAAGGACTTAATTAAAAAGCAGCCTTCTTTGTATTGGATGGTCGCACTTTTCAGAGAGTTGTGAGGTTGCTTTGTCGGATGGAATGTGAGTGGACCTGCTGCCAGTCTGAAACCTTAGCATCAAAAAGCACTTGAGGTATCTGTTTTCCCTTTGCTTCCAGCTTCTTCATTTTATTGGTACTTAGAATTGTAAAGTGTGTGCTCTTTGATCTGGTACATGGTGAGTAAGCAGAGAACATTGTCTTAGAACTAGTTGATGGAAGAGCTCATTAATATTCTGTATATGCAGTGCTGTCCTTTCCCTGTTGCTCCCCTGCTCTGTCTCTCTGGGGAACTCTTAGAATTATTAAGCTAGTGGTAAATAGGCACTTTGGTGATCTCTGGGGTGCAGCCACTCCTGCTTCCCCATCCTCTGCTTTCATCTTGGCCCTCTACTCAGGATACTTAAACCAACTCTGATGCCAAGTACAAGATAGCAGGAAATGGTCGCTCCCTCCTTAATCTTTTGTGTCTGGGGAAAACAGAACACTTACCCTGAACCTTACATTATTTGTAGGTTCATAGACTGCATCAGAATTGACTTTACATGTTCCATACTCCTCTACAGCCTCCACATCAAGCCATCATCTCCAGCTGACCCACAGGCATTCAGAAGGAAATCCACTTTTCACATGGAAGTGGACTCCCTTTTCAGGAAGGTAGACTGCTGTTGAGACAAGGCAGGAAATGTGAACAATAGCCAGAGCCCTGATCTTTGTGTTAAGACTTTGAATTTATTTTATTTGATCATGAGGGAGAGCTAATTTAAGCAAGAGAATAATTTAAACAGATCTCTACATTCAGAAAGAAAATTTGGCAATTGTATGGAAGACAAAGATGGCATTGAGAGGCAAGGAAGGCACAAGAGAGTATGGCAGAGCCCTTAGTGAGGACCACTTCAGTCTTGAATATGGATTAAGGGAACCTGATTGCACTCCAGACCCCTGATTCTCAATTCGGACAGCTCAGCATGGTTATCTCAATAACTTTAAAAATGATAATGACAAATTAGAATTGTAGATTGAGGTACACGGTGATGTTGTAACATTGTGGAATGATTAAACAAGCTGATTAACATGCATGCCCACATGGCGAGCATTTTTGAATTTACTGTTAGGAGTCTTAAAGATATAATGCACTGTTATTAACTATAGGTGCACCATCCCTGCAATAGATCTCAAAAATCTTATTCTGTCTGACATAAACTTTATATCCTTTAACCAACATATCCCTCTTCCCTTGTCCTCCCGGACCCTGATAACCTCCTTTTCACTCTACTTCCAAGAGTAATGTTTTTAGATTTCGTGTATGAGACTATGTTTTTTTCTGAGTCTGGTTTATTTCAATTAACATAATAATATAATATCTTCCCATGCATCCTAGTCTAAATTATATCCCACTTACACTGTTTGCTTTATTAATCTGATGATAGACAACTACACTGATTCCATTCCTTGGCTACTGTGAATAATGCTGCAGTGAACATGGAAATACAGGCATCTCTTCAATGTGTGGATTTCATTTTCTTTGGGATATATATATATATATATCTGTATAATTATATAATCTTACTCCTTCCAGGGGTGGGTATATATAATCTGGATCATCACTGGGCCATATTTTTAGATTTCTTTATGGGATCACCATTGCAATTTTCTATAATGACTATGCTAATGTACATTTTCATCACAAGTGTACAGGGCCCCCCTTCTTCCACATTTTTACCAGTACCTGTTACCTTTTTTCTCTTTGATAGTAAGTTCCTACAAGTGGGAGGTGGTATCTTATTCAGCTGTTGATTTGTATTTCTCTGATAATTGTGTTACTTCTTTTGGTAAATGCTTATTCAAATCCTTTGCTAAGTTTTTATTGCTGATTTTTACAAGTTTATCTGTACAAGCTTGTATGTTTGATTCAGTTGGATCAAGATAACTTTTTTTTCTATTTTGGACTTTTAAACACTACAGAGGTGATTCGGCTATATTTACAGAATTGAGATCTGCTATAAACAACAATAGCAAGTGACAGCCTTTAATCCAAGGACTCAGAAGACAGGCAGACCTCTGTGAGATTAAGTCCAGCCTGGTTTACATAGCAAGTTCTAGACCAGCTGGGGCTACAGAAAGACCCTGTCTCAAAACAAAGACAAAAACAAAATCAATAAAACAATAGTAGCAAGCTTACTGAGTGCTTATTTTCTCTGCAAA